TGCCTGTTTATTCAGAGTTTATATTTTCCTTCAGTTATATTTTAAATCAAAAGGCCTGGGTAATGTATACTTTTGATTAATATATACTTTTTTTAAAAAACAAAAAGCAATGTAATGGTTAATAGTAGAAATGTGCCACACTTTTCAAGTTTTATATAACATATGAAATTCAGTTAAAAGAATGTGTATTTCATAATGACTTTTAACTGGTAAAAATATTACTTGCACGAAGTACTTGATGTATGGTTATCCTGAAATTTTGGAGTATTTGGTGTGTTCTTTGTCTAAAAATAGTCTTTGTTTTGTCAGTCCTTCAGAATGTTATTTATTCTGAAAATTGTCCCTCTTGCACTTGGCAGTTTATTTTCTGGGATACATTGTTGGGGGAGAGGGGTTTCGCCAGTCTTTCCAGATTGAGTCTGTGCTGTTTAAGGAGGACTACCATCCTGCAACTCTTTTTCTAATTGGGGCACAGAGAGGATGTCAGTAAAGAAAAGTTGAAGAGCCCTTTCAGCACTTTCTCATCTGTGGAGAAGGTAGAATCTTAAAATACATTTGGAGTTTTATCTGTTTTACAAGTGCATTGATGGCCTAAGTTCCTCCTATTTTCTGCTGTTTGATCTCTAAGGAACTCCTGTTGCTAAATATGAAGAGTATGGAACATTCATATGGTCTCTGTGAAGCATGGGGGGAGGGAAGACATTTCTTTTTCTTATAGGCTTTATGCTCAAATGTCATAGTCACCTTTCAAAGAATCATGTTGCATTTTAAATGCACCCAGCTTAAGTAGAAGGCATTGAAGGATGCATTAATTTTCAGGAACCATTTTGAATTATGAAAATATTCCCAGTTGAAGAAATTATTCAATAAGTAAAAGCTGAGAAATTTCATTGAAATCATAAGGCAGTTTAAGCATAAATTGATAAAAATAGCTGTGTACTACTAATTAATAGAAAATCATTCAACCAAGAGAAGAGTCAAATGAATATCATTTGTTTATTGGCTAGTGAGTTTCTTTGTAACCTTGATTTTATTAAGTAATATTCGGTTAGTATGTCCTATGTTAATAAAAATGAACAAAATTAATTTTGCTATGTTCAGGTGTCTTGATAAAATAACAACGCCCCAGTGTTGTTGCTTATGTTTAGCACTAAATTTTAACACAGGGTCAGTGAGTCCAGGTTTTAACTTCTTCATGCCTGGATGGGATGAAATGTAATTCATTGTTAAATTAATGCATATTTGTATTTATTAATCACTGTGACAACATTAACCATCTGTTCTTACCAGGAAGTGGTCAGATTATCATCTGAGTTACAGTTAGACTGGCTAAGTTTGGTATTAGATCAAGGGGAATGTCCAGTAAACAGAGAGGTAAGGATGATGAAAATAATGAAGTGGGGTACACAGGAAAAACCTGACTGCTGAGGAAGAGCAGCTGAGAGATAGGGTCAGTGAATGTGGTTCAGCCTGCTACCTCTCCTGTCTTCATAGAAACATTGCCTTAGAATTATTGTATGACACTTTTTTTGTTGGTTAAGCTGTAAAGTTTTGTTCTTTGTGAAAATGGGTATTTTGAGGGGAGGGTGGAAGGAGTAAGGAAGTGCTCCTTTTACAAGAATTTCGATGCATGAGTGTCTGTTGTAGGGTTCGGATGATCTAGTAAAGTGTTTTAGAACCCCTTTTTATCCCATGCACCATTCGGTAAATATAAAAGTCACAATTCTGCTAATGTCATTTGGCACTTCAAAATAAATATCTTGTCTAAAAACAAATCAGACAATGGTGGCCTTATTTCCTTTTATATATCTATAAAATGTGTCAAAGTAACATGTGTACACAGTTTTAAAAAATAAAATAGTAAGTTCTAAAGGCTTTATGATAAAAAATAGTAGTATCTGCCTGAACTTTCCTTCCCTCCCAGAGGCAATCACTTTGACTTCAAAAGTTGTTTCTTCTGTTATTTATCTTAGTGTATCTAAATAGTATGGCTATTATGTTGCTTGATGTAACAATTTTAGACATTATTGTCTTCTTAGTAATGTTACATGATGATTTAGCTCTCTAACACACATACTTTGCCTTCTGTTATATAGTTACATCATTATATTTAGTAAACATATTAGCTGTTATTTAATTATGACTGTATAAATATCGTATACTCTAGGGCAAATGTAACATGATTTTCTTTTGCATAATTTTATTTTTCCTGTAATTAATAATTGCCTCATTTTAAACATTTACATAACTTTCTACAAATTTACCTTAAAAATTATCCAACTTCTCTGTCAGGTCTGCCATGTTCCCATCACTAGTTTGAAGGGTTTTTGTACCCAAATATCAGATAATGTCCCTGTTTTTACCAGAGATCTCTGCTGCAGTTGTCCTTCTATGCCAGTCTGTATGGTTGCTCTCTTGGCCTACTATACAGTGATGATCCCATGACCTCCCTTTGTCATCCTGTGTTGGACTTCCCATTTCCTAGTTTACTTTGTTTACTAGAGCACTTCCTAAAACACTTACAGCTTCCTAAGAAATAGTATATGAAAATTAAATTTTTTGAGGTCTTAAATGTCTAAAACACCCTTTTTCCATCCTTACATTTCATTGATAGTTTGACTACACATACAACTTTAAATTAAAAATAAGCTCTCTCAGCGTCTTGAAGGCATTGCTCCACTCTTGTCTAGCTTCCATTGTTACTAATGAGAAATCTGAACATATCTTAGTCAGATGTTGGACTTCTCCTAGATTGGTGCTTAATTTTCTTCTCTTTTTCTCCAGTTGTTTCGATGCTATTATCTCTGTTCTTTCTAGGAAAAGTACTTAATTTGATCTTGCAACATTATCTTCCTTGTATTGAATTTGTAGCACATTTCTAAAAATATTTTAATTTCTAGAACTTCTTTCATTTCTATTGTGTTTCCAAAATATCCTACTTAGTTCATAAATAAAATATCTTATTTTTCTGAGGATATAGATGTATGAATATGTATTACTACTTTTGTTTACTGCTCAATTAACACCAAGGTTTTTTTGTTACTATCTGTAATTTGTAATTTGTTTTTTTTTCTTGTTCATATAGGTGAATTTCCTGTTATTTCTGGCTAGTCTTGGCAATATATGAGGAGACCCAAAACACTATTTGAAAGCTTTGTGTTTGTGGGCAATACTTGAAGGGGTCTAGGGAGGTTCTATTTCTTACTGCTTTTAACTCTGCTTCTTCCTTGTCCTCCATCTCACCTCCTGATTTCCACTTCACACATACTTCCTTGTATCTGTCCCTCTCCATATTTCTTCCACTTAGTTGTCTTCCATTTATTTCTCCAGATAAAAATTCTCTGGTCTTCCACCTGTGAGAGACAGTGGTGGAAGTGAGAGATCATATTTTTATGGCTAAGAGGAGTAGGGCAGAGAACTTTGGGGATCAGGCCATTCTGTTGTATATGCTTTCAACTAGACATTTTCAGGCCTGTCCCTGCCTCCACTCTGCTGTAACTTTTACCTCCAAATCTGAGCTGCTCAGGGACTGTGGAATCAGTCAGCATGCTTCTCACTGGTATCCACCTTGTAGTCCCTCTAGATTGCAGCTTTCTCTGTTCAGCTCAGTCATATTCCATCTGCTTTCAGTTTTCCAGAAGTTTGTTGAAATCATTTGTCTGTTGCTGCCTCCTCTCTATTCAAATTTTGGGCTCATGTCTTTTTAAAATTGTTTTCCAGATTATCGTATGGTAAATTTTACTTCTGTTCTGGTAGCATAGTTTTTTGAGTTTTAATACCAGAGATAAAGTACCATCACTCCCCAAAAAACTCCTCATACTATTCCTTTGTAATCATTCACCCTTCCTCCCACTCATAACCCCCAATTTGTTTTCTATCCCCATAGTTTTTTCTTCTAGAAAGTTCTAAATAGGAGCAATGCCATATGTAACCTTTGAAACAGCCTTCTTTCCTTTAGTGTAATGGCCCTGAGATTCATCCAAGATAATGTGTCTTATCAATAATTTTTCTCATATTTTTCAAATTTATTTCATTTTACTATAGTGGGATGGAGGAGAGATAAACTCGGGGGGCCAATCTACCATCTTAAATCAGAAACACCTTGAAGCAAATATACCCTTCACTTTTTGTTGATTTTATAATGTTTTTAAAAAAAATCTTAAAAGAGAAACTTGTTATTTAAGTGGTAGTAATAAGAGCTTGTCTGTGTATCACAAGCTTTTCTATACAGGGTAATGTGGAAAAAGATTGAACTCCCCTTACATCCCTTTCAAGCTTATTATGCCACTTTGTTTCAAGCACAGAATTGCAGACAATAGCTTTACAAATATTTGTCAAATTGCAGTATCAGTGGTGTAAAGTAACCCCAGGGCATGTTGTCATGCCTTTTCACAACAAACTTTGTGAAACAGTATGTCCTTTATATTTTCTTGTCATCTTCAACTTCAATCAGGGTCAGGCTTTCACCTCAAGATTATACTGTTTGTACTCTGTTGAGTGTCACCTGTGTCTGAAAGATTCAGTAGAAAGAGTATGGGTTTCAGAAGTAGGCTGATACGGCTCCTATACTTACAAACTGTACCTTGCAATTGCTTAAATCTTCTAAGCCATTTACCTTTCCTTGTCTGTAAAATAGGGATTTCAATACCTATTTGACAGATTTTGTTTTGAGCAATGAGTGACAGATAAAAAGCATTTAACACAAAGCATAGAAAAATAGATATTCAATGAACAATTCCCATTCTTTTCTGTCAAATCAAGTGAACTCGCCCTTATTTTTTTTTTGCTCCATTATATCTTTTTGCTCCATTTGATAGGCATTTTCCTTTCCTCTCCTTTAGCATGTGGCTTCTGTGAATGACTCTCCTGATTTTTTTCCCCTTATCTGTTCCTTAGTCTCCTTTGTATATTCCTTAATTATACTAACCATATAAAATGTTGGGAGTTCTTTGAGATTGTGTTCTATGCCTTTAAGTTACACATTCTCCCTGAACAATCTTAAGTACCTTATTATTTCTGTTGTCTTTACACTGACTGACTTCTCTGTCTTTTCTTGTGCCTTGACATCTGTCTTGAGCTCTAGATTTTTCATTATTAATCACTGGAGACATGAAAGTTAATAATGAATTAACCTAAGTTAATAAGGCCCAAGCAGCAATCATTCCACACAACCCTGGGTTTAATAAGGTCAAAACAGGAATAATCTCACACCAGAGATTTACATTCCTCGTTATTGTGAATGGTATAGCCAACCACCTTGAGGTAAGCCAGAAACCCTAGCTCTCTTCTCCAGCTGCCCAATCTAATATAAATCACTGTATTGTGTTGAGTTTTGAATGTTCTTCCTTTTAGTTGGGTCTCTCATCCCTCCCCTTATCTACATCTCTCTTGATTATTTAGTTTAGGTTTTCCTTCCTCCTTGGATTACTATGAGAGCTTTCTGACAGACTCTCTGACCCTAATAACTCATGTCCAATCCAGCCTTTCATTACTAGAATGATCCTGAAATAGAGCTCCAATTTTAACAGTTTGCTATTTGAACCTGTAAGTAGCCCTTCAGGATGTTTAATTCATCCCTGAACTCAGCCTTCCACTATTACCTCAATTCTTCATTTGTTCTGCAAACCAAACCATTTGCAATTCCCCAAGACACCTGGCCACCCTGTCTTGGCCTTTGCAAATGTTAAAGCTTTTGCCTAGATTTTTCTTCTTACCCAACCTTTCCTCCCATAATAGTTTTTGAGTTATTTTAACAGCCACCCAATGATGATGAATACTATTATCTCCATTTTAAAGATAAGAGAAACTGAGGTATAGATTATGTATCTTGCCTTCAGTCATGTCATTACCACTAAATGGCAGATTCAGGATCTGTCTGACTTTCAAGTTCTTAACAACTATTTTTTTTTCTCTTTTCACTCCATCTAGGCCTCTGTTTTTACAGTTCCTGCAGCGCATCAACGCTTGATTCCAAATTCAGATTGTTAATCATGTTCTTGTCCTAAGTCTGGAATGACTTAATTTCTGCTCCATTTATTCTACCAGACCTTGCCAAAATTGTCTTTTTTTTTTTTTGAGACAGAGTCTCACTGTGTCACTAGGCCAGAGTGCAGTGGCGCGATCTCGGCTCACTGCAACCTCCACCTCCCGAGTTCAAGCGATTCTTCTGCCTCAGCCTCCCGAGTATCTGGGACTACAGGCTAATTTTTGTATTTTTAGTAGAGACGGGGTTTCACCATGTTGGCCAGGATGGTCTCGATCTCTTGACTTGTGATCCGCCCGCCTCGGCCTCCCAAAGTGCTGGGATTACGGGGGTGAGGCTGTAATCCGTGCCCGGCCCCAAATTCTGCCTTTTTACAACCTTAGCCCACTACTTTCTTTGAATTTCCCATACAGCTTTTGTTGTACCAGTTACTTGGAGAGTCATTTATGTCTGCATCAAATTTACTGTTATGTATGATATTCCTAATTAGATTATATTCTCCAGAAGGTCAGAGACTTTAAAACAATATTCCCTTGAGTGTATTACAAAGCGTTACATTCATAGTAGGTAGCTGGTAGATTATTGTTCAATGGAGAGTGACTCATGTTCTTGTTGATGAAAATAGTCAAACTCTATAAAATATTTTAAGAGATTTATTCTGAGCCAAATATGGGTGATCATGGCCTGTGACACAGCCCTCAGGAGATCCTGGGAACATGTGCCCAGGGTGGTTGGGATACAGCTTGGTTTTATATATTTTTGGGAGGCATGAGACATCAATCAAATACATTTAGGAAATACATTGGTTTGGTTCAGGAAGGCGAGGCAACTCAAAACGGTGGGGAGGGGGGACTTCCAGGCTATAGGTAGATTTAAACATTTTCTGGTTGGCAACTGGTTGAGTTTATCTGGAATCAATAGAAATGTTTAGGTTAAGATAAAGGATTAAGTTTTATTGTGCAGACGAAACTCTCAGATAGCAGACTGCAGAGAGAGCAGGTTATAAAATGTGTCTTACCAGACTTAAAAGAATGCCTGGCTCTTAGTTGATTATCTCCTGGATCTGGAAAGGCAGGAAAGAAAACAAAGGGGAAAGGGGATTCTCTATAGAATGTGGATTTTTCCCACAAGAAACTTTGCAGGGCAATTTCAAGATTTGGCAGAGAAACATGTTTTGGGGTAAAACATTTTGATTTTCTTCCTCGTTATGCCAGTCAGATTAAGTCATAATATACAGGGTTAAATAAAACCCATCTGATAAGAATTTGTGGTTTGTAGGGTAGGACTCCCCAGACCCCTTAGATAGGAATTTGGGCAAGATAAAAAGAAAATCAGAGCTTAGTCCTCATTTATGAAATTGTTTATCATAAGGACTTTAGAGTTAGAGAAAAAGATCATTAGGAGTTAGTCCAAATACTTAAGTTTAATGATGAAAAGACTGAGGCTTGCAATTAGATGAAGTATTTAATAATAAACTAAATACAGCAACCAAGACAGCAACTGTTTCCTGATTTCCAAAGGTGACTCAGAATGTGATAAAGTATGGAATTATATTGAAATTTATCTTTTACCTAACCAGTAGTTTGTAACATTAAAGTTCACATGAAACTGTTCTATATTTTTATAAAATTGGAAGTGGATTAAGCATGGCTCTAGAATTAACAGATGTGTGTATGCACACACATCCAAATCACAGAAAACTATTCTGGCTTCCCTCTGTTTTTGTTATTTATAGATTCTATAGGCAGGATCATAGTCAGGGTTATCTTGTCTGCTTTTTAAAGGAAAAAAAAAATGATTGGGTAACTGTGCTTTGGTAACTGCATCAGTAATTATGAGATATTTTAACGTAGTACTTTTGCATCTGATGTCCATCTTACTGACAAGACTTAAATCATGACCTACCTCAGGTTTCCCACATATTCCCCCTGCCAATTCTGTCATACTGTTACAAAACCCTCTGGAGTAAGTATTTTCCAAAAGAACCATTTTCTAATTTTCTAACATTACAAAAGAGCAAGGATAAAAGAACCCCAAACTGATGTTTTGGAAGCAGTCTATTTTGAAAGTAACTTCTGGTTCAGAGGATGAATTTCAAAAAGTGGTAATGTTTCTAGTGTGCCTGGGAAGATCCAGTAAAGTTTGTCAGGTACCCAGGCAAATTTCAGTCATTTGTATGTCAGGATAATCACAACTTACAGAAAAGGAGCAAGGCGATAATGAATGAGGAACCCTGGGACTGAAAACATTTGGAGGGAGTACAAGTACTAAGACATGTTTTGAATTTTTACACTCAATAATCCATTCTTTTGTGCAGGATGACAGTTCATTCATTTAACCAATGTATATTGAGCATTTTCTGTGTGCCAATTACTATTCTAGATGCCAGGGATACATGAGTACACACAACCGAGTTTAGAGCAGAGTCATATGATCCCACTTAAGTTCTTAAAAGAATCATTGCTGTGTGGAAGATAGTGGAAGAGTGGAAACAGGGAAACCCGTTAAAAAGGCTTTTGACATAATCTGAACAAGAGATGATGATGGCTTGGCCAGTAGTAGCAGTAGTGTTGGAGATAATGAGAAGTGGTTCAATTCAGATTGTATTTTGAAGGTGCAGCCAATGGAAATTTTAAATAAATTGATTTATAGAGTATGACAGAAAACAAAGTTTAAGGCTTGAAGTAAGGAAAATTGCAGAGGACAAAGTTTGGGAATAAGGAGTGGAAAGTAGAATTCAGTTTTGTTTGTAAGTTTGAGATGCACGTTAGCCATCTAGGTGGAGATGTCTTAAGTTAATGGGAAAGGCCAAGCAGGAGATAGGTGAGTTGTCAGCACATGAATAGTTTTTCTTTCCTAAAAAAATTCTTTTTCTTCATACAATCTACAGGAAGTGGGAGTAGTAGTTCAATGTTAGATGAAATCACAAAAGGGATGAATGTAGAAAAAAGGTGAGAAACTGAAATTTTAGAGGTTAAGAGGACAAGGATCCAGGAAGAAACTAAAAGGAGCAGCCGCTAAAACAGGAGAACCGCTGAAGGAGTACTATGGAAGCCACTTTACGACCATGCTTCAAACTATCATATTCTTTCTTACATGTATGCTTTACCTCCAAATTAAAAAGTAAAAGTATATGGTGAGGGACGGATTAGCTATGTTAAATGCTGCTAATAGATGGATAAGGTGAAAATTGAGTCTCACAATTTATTTAGCAACCTGGAAGCTATTGGTGATTCTAAACAAAAGCAGTAAAAGCCTGCCCAAAATGGGACCAAAAAAAGCTTAGGAGGAGGAGGAGAGACAAGTGTAAAGAAGTCTATAGGATGGTAATGGAAATCAAAGGAGTTTTTTTGTTTTTAATTTGGGAACGTGTTAATAGATGGAATGATCCAGTAAAGGGGGAAATTGCACTGAATAACATGAATATTAAGAATCTGTGTCTAGGATCTATTTAATGTGAATTCATGGCTTTTTGGACAGAGTCATAAGCTTCTTAGATCTGTCACCCAATGTAATTAATTCATGTGTTGGTTAGTGAATACTCCCTTTAAGCAGTGCTTGTGGATTGGTAAGAAATCCACATAATCTCTGCGCTTGAGAAATTTACAATCTAGAGTTGGCTAACTGGAGAAAACATAAGAGAGTACATACAACTAACAAATTAAGGTTATGGACAATGTACTTAAACCCCCACGCCCCAGCTATTGGCATGTGGTAATTTTGTCCAGAGTTTTGGTTACATGCATAATCCAGAGGGTTGTAGAAAATCAGGTCCTTTCAGTCGCAATCTAAGAAGACATGAATTGGGGTGTTTATAAGCCTTGGTGAGGAAGAGAATTTTAACTGGGACTGGTAACTTGGTGGGCCCATTGACATACAGTAGATTGTGAAGAAGAAAACCCCAAGGATTACAAGAAATAGTTTTAATATTACTAATTTTTATCATTTGCTGAGCCTATGGGTTTCTTATTTGAAATGGCAATCAAATAATTTGTGAGAGTTTGCAGAAAGGTGGAAAGATTATTGTAATACAGGGCAGATATTTGCGTTTGTACACACTTGAGGGTAAGCACAAGAAATAAACACAATGGGGATTACTTAAGCGAAATGGATGACACCGACAGCCTTTCTGTACAACAAATAATTGCTGTGCTTAACTCCAGTAATGAATGTAGTGCCCTGCTGGATCTGGGACAGCAAGACTTTTGAGTCCAGATGCGCCATCTCATTTCTTGTCCCCCAACGTTTCCTCAGTAGCAAGCTAGCGAGCCGCTTCCACAATATGGGGACACTGTGAAAGAGCTTCTTCTTGCTTAGGGAGTTCTGCAGCAGTCGAAGGTACAAGAAGATAAAAATTGTTACCTTGACACAGCTCTTACAGCATATTCTCAACACAAGGAACAGTAATGTCCCGCAGCAATTCCTTCGGTGGAAAAAACTAATCCGTTTTGTATTTTATGAGGCCTCACAGCTGTATTTCGGCCAACTCAGTCTTTGTTCACTTTCTAGCGGCTTAAAGGTTGCCCAGTTTTACGCCTTCTCGCTCAAAACAGACACTAGCTTTCTTTGATAGCCTGGTCCCACACTGACTTCATCTAAGCTTATTACATTCATCTCACAAATCGTTTGCCTTTTCCCCAGCCTTAGCTCCAGCGACCAGCCGAAAACGTCAGGAACGAGCTCACCAGACTTGAGACGGCGAGCCGGCTAGAGCGGATAGGGCCGTACTGCCGCTCTAGTTTTTCTTTTGCTCTCTATGATTAGGAGCGCAGGCCTCTCTTCGGCCCCGCAAGATTTACGTTCCTGAATGCTTACGCAAGTCTCGGAGGTAGTTCCGGTTCCGGCGTGGCCATTTTCGTTGCTGGTGTTAAGTTGCGGCGGTTGCCGGTCAGTAACAGCCAAGATGCTGCGGAATCTGCTGGTGAGGAGCTTCTCGTCTTGCATTCATGATAGGGGCGAGGGAGTGGAGAGGAGGCTGAGGCACCATGACAGAAAACCCTCACCTGGGAGGGGTGCAGAAGGCGGCTAATGAAGTCACCTTGATTTATGTCCTTTTCCCCTGACCTTACTTTTCCTCTCGCCCCAGGCCGTCTCTATTCCTCTCGCCCCAGGCCGTTGCTGGGTAGATGTAAGGAGTGTAGAGGCTGGGGAAGTGACCAGAGACTTGTGGGTTAGACCCGTCTTGGGTTCTTAGGCACCACCCCTAACCCTGTCGGTCATTGATGAGGTTAGTAGCTCGGATCTGAGTAAAACCAAGGACCAGGTGGGGAATGTCTGACACCCGGAAGCATCAAGCAGAAAGGTGTTCTTCTGGTAATGAAAGGCTTTAAGTTTCAATGGTTTTGAGCTTTGCGAGCTTTCTGAGAAGGCAGTTTAGAAACCAAGCCATTCATTTTGGGTGGAACTTTAGGAATAGTCATGGCTGAACTGCAGCGTTACTTCCGTCAGGCTATTGTGCATTGTCCTTCACCCCTCCACCGACTTTGAGCATATGAAATATTTCCCCAAATTTTGAAAAAGAAAAGAAAAAAATGCGACAATGATTATTTTATCTTTTAAATTATTTAATGAAGTTTTGTTTCATTAAAATCCTCAATGTAATTTATTTTAAAAAATCGAGAGCACATTTGTTTCATTATTTAATTCAACTGGATATTTAATGCAAGTCTCTTTAAAAGATGTATACCCTATTTAAAATTTTTTAGGAAAAATGTAATGGGAGAAGCATTTTAATTGAGAAGGAATCATGCCAGTCTATTTGCTGTCAAGTAATAGGTTTTTTTTTTTTTTTTTTTTTTTTGAGACATACTCTATTGCCCAGGCTGGAGTGCGGTGGCACGATCTCGGATCTCCCAGGTTCGAGCGATTCTCCTGCCTCAGCCTCCCAACTAGCTGGGATTACAGGCGCTCGCCACCAAGCCCGACTAATTTTTGTATTATTAATAGAGACAGGGTTTCACCATGTTGGGCAGGCTGGTCTCGAATCCTTGACCTCAGGTGATCCGCTCACCTCAGCCTCCCAAAGCGCTGGGATTACAGGCATCAGCCACCGCGCCCGGCCCTTTTTTTTTTTTTTTTTTTTTGAGCGGAGTTCGTTCTTGTGGCCCAGGCTGGAGTGCAGTGGCGTTGTTTGGGCTCACTGCAACTTGCGCCTCCCGGGTTCAAGCCATTCTCCTGCCTCAGCCTCCTTAGTAGCTAGAATTACAGACGCACACCACCACGCCCAGCTCATTTTTGTATTTTTAGTAGAGATGAGGTTTCACCATGTTGGCCAGCCGAGTCTCAAACTCCTTACCTCAGGTGATCCACCCACCTCGGACTCCCAAAGTGCTGGGATTACAGGCGTGAGCCACCGCGCCTGGCCAAGTAACAGATTTTTTCTTTTCTTTTCTTTTCTTTTTAAGATGGAGTTTCACTCCTTTTGCCCAGGCTATAGTGCAATGGGGCGATTTTGGCTCACCGCAACCTCTGCCTCCCGGGTTCAAGCGATTCTCCTGCCTCAGCCTCCCGAGTAGCTGGGATTACAGGCATTTGCCACCGTGCCCGGCTAGTTTTGTGTTTTTGGTAGAGACAGGGTTTCTCCATGTTGGTCAGGCTGCTCTTGGACTCTCAGGTGATCCGCCCGCCTAGTAACAGATTTTTTTTTTGTTTTTTGAAACGGAGTTTCAGTCTTGTTGCCCAAGCTGGAGTGCAATGGCCTGATATCGGCTCACCGCAACCTCTGCCTCCCAGGTTCAAGCGAGTCTCCTGCCTCAGCCTCACAAGTACCTGGGATTACAGGCATGTGCCACCACGCCCCACTAATTTTGTATTTTTAGTAGAGACAGGGTTTCTAATGTTGATCAGGCTGGTCTTGAACTCCTGATCTCAGGTGATCCGCCCGCCCCGGCCTCCCAAAGTGCTGAGATTACAGGCGTGAGCCACCACGCCCAGCAGATTTTTGATAATATGGTAGTATATTATGAAAATATTTGAGCTTAGTGTATTTTGGTTAAGCACTATTTTTGTAATATGTGTATGTCAATATGTTTGCATCAAGGATTATAAAATGTTACTGGTTCTGTTCAGGTAAAGATCATGATTTTATATTTTGGTTAGAATCTGTATGAATTGCTTCTTGAGTATGTTGTTTGGAGACTGCAGAATGTAATTCGAAAGCCAGAGGATGGATGACAAATTGAAAAGCCTGGATGCTCTTCCATGACTTTGCTACTGACAAGTCAGATATGCTTCAAGTCTCAATTTACCTTTTTTATAATATGAAGGACTGAAAATGGTTTTGAAGGTTTCTTTAGGCTCTAAGTCTGTTTAATAATATTTTCATTTTAGGCTCTCCGTCAGATTGGACAGAGAACCATAAGCACTACTTCCCGCAGACATTTAAAAAATAAAGTTCCAGAGAAACAAAAACTGTTCCAGGTACTGAAGTATTTTATAGGAGATTGTTACTTGTAATAATTAGATTACCAAAAGGTAGAGTTAGGATAAACAAGTATGTGTATAAATTAGATCATATGACAATATAAACATTACAAAATAAGTCAAGAACATGTGCCATACTGCTAATAGTGATTGTCTCTTGGGGAAAGACCTGGTGGAGCAGAGCAATTTACCTCTATAAGTAGTTTGATTATGAGTGATTTTTGTTTTATTATGGTTTCTAGCTTTTCCCAAATAAAACTTCAAGTGATTAAAAATAGTTGTATCATATATACATACAAATAAATACTTTACTGGACAGATGTACTAAATAGCTACTTTATGCTGGATTAGATGCTAGGGATATAATTTAGGGTTATAAACCAAAATCCCTTCCCCACTTTTTAGGGAAAAAAGGTTCCTATGACTAAATCTAATGTGTGGCAATTATTGATTCTTTTATATTTCAGTTATATTAAAGTTGTTGAGATCAGTGTGTATGTTTTATAGCTTTAATGTTTATGTATTCTTTGGAAAGACCATCATTAATGGATCTTAAATTAACAGTAAAAGAAAAATGCTGACTTTTAGGAGTTCTTATTTTAAAAGTAGTAGGAGTAGAGACAGAATAAAGAAAATTGTAGGTCTTTTAAATTTTAATACTTAAATACTTTAATTATAGGGATTTAAGGAGCTACATCATTTTATATGTCTGTTCTTTTGAAACTTAGTTGGAAATGAGTGAGGCATCTATTATTGTCTTTTTTTTTTCTTTTTTTAATCTAGGAGGATGATGGAATTCCACTGTATCTAAAGGGTGGGATATCTGATGTCCTCCTGTATAGAGCCACCATGGTTCTTGCAGTTGGTGGTAAGGCCTTTGGAATGTTTGAACGTTTATAGAAAAGTAATAGTAATGATAACTGATAACTTTTGCTTTTGCTATGCCAGTATTTTAATGCAGGCAGTCTGTCTCCAGAATTTGATATCTTACTATGTCTCATAATGATTCAAGAGGATGACTGATACATACTGTATAAGAGCATTTTGATGTTTTTTTTTTGAAACGGAGTTTTGCTCTTGTTACCCAGGCTGGATTGCAATGGTGTGATCTCAGCTCACTGTGACCTCTGCTTCCCAGGTTCAAGCGATTCTCCTGCCTCAACCTCCCGAGTAGCTGGGATTACAGGCATGTGCCACCCCGCCTGGCTAATTTTGTAGTTTTAGTAGAGATGAAGTTTTTCCATGTTGGTCAGGTTGGTCTGGAACTCCCGACCTCAGGTGATCTGCCCGCTATGGCCTCCCAAAGTGCTGGGATTACAGGCATGAGCCACTGCACCTGGCCTTAATAAAAAAATAACACCAATAAGATTTGATGATTATTTTGTGATAGAGTTGGCTTTCTGAGTACCATTGATGGTAGTGAAGGCTATAGTTCAGTCAAAAGCATCCATTATATCCCACCTCTTATAGCAAGGGCTTTAAAACATTTTGACTGTGATGCAAAATAAAAGCGCACTTTACATCTAAACTCTGTACAGACATATTTATGACAAACAAAATTTGTATGGAACAATACTTTTACTGGAAGGTAAAGAGAAGGGAATCTATATTTGAGTGATTATTTTGTGCCCATCATATTCATAGGAATGCCACATACTTGGATTTCTGTAAATCTTGCATGAAGTCTATAATATGTCTTCATTTTAAAGACGAGGAAACTATGTTAATTACCTGTTTGGGAAACTCTGCTCTCACATCACAACAATCAACATGGAAGACCTCTGTTGCCAAATGTGTGGGGGTTTTTCCCTACACACCATGTAATAGACACCAGCTAGGTGTCCGCCAATTCAGTTTCCACACTCTCTACTGGGAGATAGCATCAGATTCCACAGGTTGATGGCAGAAGACTGTCTCCTCCTTCCCACCAGTTACAAGTTTGGGTCTCTGGAACTTCTGACTGACTGGCTTTAAGTTGGGGTTCCCACAATCTCCTCACTAGGGGAACACATTTACCAGTTTATTATAAAAGGTATTATAGGCCGGGTGTGGTGGCTCACGCCTGTAATCCCAGCACTTTGGGAGGCTGAGGCTGGCAGATCACGTGAGGTCAGGAGTTCAAGACTAGCCAGGCCCACATGGTGAAGCCCTGTCTCTACTAAAAACACAAAAATGAGCTGGGTGTGGTGGCACACACTTGTAATTCCAGCTACTCGTGAAGCTGAGGCAGGAAGATTGCTTTAACTGGTAGGCGGGGGTTGCAGTGAGCTGAGATTGTTCCACTGTACTCCAGCCTGGACAACAGAGGGAGACTCTGTCTCAAAAAAAAAAAAAAAAAAAAGTCCTAAATTCCTTTTGGCCAATGTGACCATTTCTTAGACATTCTGGTAAATAGTTTTTAAAATGAAATTCCGGTTATCAGCTATTTTTTACATTACATTTGATTACTTTAAAATTATATCACTCTTCCTTTTTTTACATTCACTTTAGGGAAGGCTTGCATATTTTGAAGTCATTTTTTTCTTTGGCATTTGAATCATCCTTAATCATCCTTAGCATTTCTCAGGCAATCTTGGGTTAATATGGAAATAACGTTTGTATATGTTCTTATTTTTAAAAATTTTTGTATTTTATGTTGACAGATATATTATTGTGCCATACTTTGTTAAAACTACATTAAATATATTTTACATATATTTATTTAAAATTTTGCCAACACCTATCAAAATACTTCTTTGTGTTCTAATTAAGGTAGTCTTAATGCAAACTTACAACTTTTAAACTGGAATATTAAATTTATACACTTAGATCTCAGAATTTCTGGTTAGGTTCTTTTTTGTTTTTTATTTTTAGGAACAGCATATGCCTTGTATCAGCTGGCTGTGGCTGCATTTCCCAAGAAGCAGGAGTGACTTCAATCATCCCAGCAATCACTTGGTTCAGTTTCATTCTGCTCTCTATGGACCAGTAATCTGATAACCGAGCTCTTCTCTGGGGATCAATATTTATTGACTTGTAGTAACTGCCGCCAATAAAGCAGTCTTTACCATGCTTTGTCTGATTTTATCACTTTTATGCCAATAATTTCAACTTTTGGTCAGCCTTGTAAATCTTAGGTAAGGATCAAAGAAATGATTCTTCTGTCACAAAACTTGTATAAAGCAACATTGTTGTGATATTATTTTAGTGAAATTTTACTTTTAACAGCTTAAAATTAGAGTCTCAATTTCTGTCTCAACTTGACATTTGAATGCATATTGCTTTTTCCCCCTACCCACTCCAGTATATCTTGGAATATGCTAGAACCTGGGGGTAGTGGAAGCAGGTTATCTTTGGCTCCTGGGGTCTACATTTCTTTCTTTCTTTCTTTTTTTTTTCTCAGCTATGTGAGAGTATGCTTAAATACTGGATATATCCCACAGCTTAGAATTAGGGTTTAGTAGAATGACTTTGTAAAATATTTCAGTATTTGTTTTTTTCTACGCTCAGAGTGGGTTCAGGTAGGTTTCTGTCATCAGGAACCAACCAAAGCAGGATAGTTACTGGGCTCCCCAGCTATCATACCATCTAATGGACCCACAACTCTTATTTACCCTAAACAGTAGTTAGGTGCTTAATAAATGGTAGCCATTATTGGCTCTCATAATAGGAATGGTTCAAAAAGGTCTACTTCGAGAACACAAAATGCAAATAGATACAGAGTGTAAGAATCATAAAAAGAATTACAATGCTGCTCTAGGCAGTTTGCTTCAGGGTTTGCAGAACCCTTCCTGCTTTGAGAGAACCATGCATGAAGTTGGAAATTTCATAGACTTCAAGTTTGGGACTCCCCTTTCCTGGATTCTGGTGTGCATCCATGTGGAGAGTAGCATCTTGTGAACCACTTCAAGACTTTCCTTCTATATATATGGAGATTGGTGGCTCACGCCTGTAATCCCAGAACTTTGGGAGGCCGAGGCGGGTGGATCACGAGGTCAGGAGATCGAGACCATCCTGGCTAACACGGTGAAACCCCGTCTCTACTAAAAATTAGCCGGGCGCAGTGGCGGGCACCTGTAGTCCCAGCTACTTAGGAGGCTGAGGCAGGAGAATGGCGTGAACCAGGGAGGCGGAGCTTGCAGTGAGCCAGATTGCGCCCCTGCACTCCAACCTGGGTGATACACCGAGACTGCGTTTCAAAAAAAAAAAAAAAAAAAGATACAGAGTGCCTACTGTGTACTACCGTTTACGGTTTTAGGTGCCTAGGAATCATTGGTGAACAAAGGCAGATTCCTCCTCTCATGGAGTTTATGTTGTAGAAAGGGGTGGTAGGAAAGACAGTTTAAAAATAAATTGCACTGTTGGTTAAAAGATAAGTTCTATGGAAAAAGACCAAAGGGGAGAACTGACATGGGTGTGGATGGTTGGTTACAGTATTAAAGTTAGGGTAGTCTTCAACAGGAAGGTCAGATTATTTTGAGACATCCGAAAGTGAACTGGTCAGAAACAATCATCCCGCTGTGTCAGAAATTGGTTCTGGGACCTCCCACGGATATGAAAATTTGTGAATGCCCAAGCCTTTTATATAAAATGGTGTAGTGTTTGCATATAACCTATGCACATCCTCCTGTATACTTTAAATATCCTAGGTTTGTTATAATACCTGATGCAGGATAAATGCTATGTAAATATACTGTATTGTTTTGGGGATAAGGACCAATAAGAAAGTCTGTATGTGTTCAATACAGATTCAGCCATTTATTTTTTGCCAAATATTTTCAAGCTGTTGGTTGAATCCACAGATGCGGAACCCATGGATATGGTGGGCCAACTGTATATGGGCAAAAGGCACTCTAGGAAAAGGAAACAGCTTAGAGCAAATGTCCTAAGGTGCCTGGTATGTTCAAAGAACAGAAAGGCAAGAGTAGATACCACTCGGTGGGTGAGGGAGAGGAAGTTAGTAGGGTGTGGGCCACATCAAGTAGGGTCTTGTAGGTTATTTTAAGGACTTTGGCTTTTGAGTGACATGGAGAGCCCTCATAGGATTTCTCAATGAAGAGTAGACTTACATGTTTTAAAGAGGACTAGCCTGGTTGTTGTGATAAAATAGACCATAGGGGGCAGTAGTAGAAACAGGCAGATCCTTTACGATGCTTACTGCAGCAACTTAGATGAGAGGTGATGAAGGCTAAGAGCAGCTGTTAGCCATGAAAATGATGGAAAGTGTTCAAATTATGAGCAGAGGAGGATCTTTATCATCCACTTAAACCTTACCTTTCCTCATCCATCCATCCCACAATTTCTTATTGAGTATGAGAGTCTACTTCGTATAAAGCACTGTTGTAGGCTCAGAGAATAGAGCTGTGAAATAGATGAGCAAGCTCCTTCATGGGGCTTACATTCTAGTCGCTGGAAAACAAATAATTCATAAGCCTGATACTGTCCTATAGTGGGAACTGCAGATCAACAGGGTAGTCTATTGGGAGGAATAGTGCAGTGGAAGCTAGAAAAGGGCTGAGTAAAGTTACATTTGAACTGAGACCAGAAGAAAAGAAGGAGCCAGCTAACAGTGAGAAGAAAAGCATTCCAAGGAATGGGAAGAGGAAATTGCTTTGCAGGGACGAATTGCAGAAAGAGGACAAGTGGTGTGGAGCATGGGGAGCTGGAGAAAGCAGCAGTTGTTCTCTCTTCCACAGTGACTAACACAACAAATGGTCATGCCACTACGCACAGGGTCTAGATAGATTTGTTTTCTGGTTTCATAATATGCAACACGATCTCATAACCATAATATTGATTTAGCAAGAATCCCAAATATAAATTAATGTAGACAATCTATCTCAGGCAGTTATCGTTACTATTATTAGTAAGAACTGGAAGCTGAGAACATACAGAGATCAAATACACAATTACATTTGAACTAGAACTCAAACCTAGATATGTCTTATTCTGAAGTCTGTTGTTTATCTGTTATGTACCATGTTACTTCCTAAATGCAGAAAAAAAGAAAAAAAATACTTAGGATCATTTTACTTGTTGCTTTCCCCACAAACTTTATTCCTTTTGAATATTGTTGTATTCGTGGTTATGTTTGATGAATTAGCATCATAAGAATTGGCAATTTTTAGATTTTGCTCTTCTCTCAGACTCCTGTGAGTCTGGCTTTGTATCTACTCCAGTTGCCTATTTCTATTGAAATTATAGTTTTACAGCTGCTATTTACTATCTGAAAAAAAAACAAAAAACAAACCCCACCAGCTTCTACAAGTCAAGGATATATTGAAAGACTCATCTTATTAATGAGGAAAACCAATAAAAACTCAAGACATTTTCTACATTTTTATCTCAGTATAATATACTGGTGGGAAAAAAGGATTAAATGTTCACAATTACATTGCTTGGAAACTAGAAAACTGCCTACTGAAATGGTAATTGTAAGCCAGGCACGGTGGCACGTGCCTGTAATCCCAGCTACTTGGCAGCTGAGAAGGGAGAATGGCTTGAGCCCAATAGTTGGAATCCAGCCTGGGCAACATAATGAGACTCTCTCAAAAAAAGAAAGAAATGGTAATTTTAAGGCATACATGAAGTCAGTTAAAGGAAGGGAAATTCATAACATTAGATATTGCAGACTTAGTGCCAGAAGATATGCATGTATGTATGTAAATTTGGATTTGAGTGTTGATTTCTAATTATCAATCTTCCATTAGTATAATGTAAGATGGGCTATTTCTTGAATTCTGAAATTATGCCAGATCTTTATTGAGCTCTTGGAGGAGGCCATCATCTTCCCTCTGGGAGCTGCTAAAAATATTCTCTAGCATTATTCTGGTGGCTAAAAGCTGGTATCCTTGTTTGGCCTTGTTTTTTCTCTTTCGAGTCCATTTTACCCCAGTGAATGCACTTAACTAGAACAGCCTATGACCATTAACATTTGGATGCTCTCCCTACAGTGCTTTTTCCTAAAATAGTACCTGCTCTGGGAAATCAGTATGCAGTGAACCATCTTGACTGTTTTGGTCACAAAGACATATCTTTACAATTGATCATTTCCCCATCTTAATTCTATCCTAGTGATCATTAAAATGATTTCAAAAAGTTTTCTTTCCACTTTAGTTGGACCGTACAACAAAGGAACTGACCAGGAAGTTCCAGTCAAGGATGTGGAGCCTGGAGTCTCTTTTTTGTTCACCTCTGTCCATATTTATCAAAAAAAGTCTGGACGAAAAGCAACAGACAGAATCCCTTTACAGAATTGAAAGACAAAAGCAAAAAAAACAAAACAAAAAGATGCATTTCTCAAGAAGTAATTTCAAACATGAGTTTATTTCTCAAGACTTGAAAGAGTCCCTATGTTCATTTTCCAAAGCTGTAGCAGCCTAACTGAAATCATAAAGTTTTGATAATTGGTTTCCAAACCAAGCCTTTTAGTTGGTAGAATTTTTTTTTTTAGATGATTATAAAGTAGGATGAGAAAAAGAAGTGGAGTTATATAGAACACTTAATAAAGAACACCATGCATATATTATTATTTAAAAAACTTTCTGATTATAAAACTCATTCATACATATAGTAGATACAAAAGAAAGAAGAATACTTCTGATAGTGTTCAGCTGTTTGTCCTGTATATAAACAACTGGAGCACAGGAGTGTTTTTAGGACTCTCTCCATCTCTTGTCGTGGCTCATCCTTTGAAATTCCCTTGTTGAGCATGGCAGAAATGTATCCTCTGATGACATGCTTCCCTGCTTAACCACCTATATTAGATGGTTTGGGCTGCTATAACAGTATACCACAGACCAGATGGTGCTAACAGTAGAAATTTAGTTTCTCACAGTTCTGGACCCTTAGGAGTCCCAGATCAAGGTGCTGGCTCATTTGGTTCCTAGTGAGGGTTCTCTTTCTGGCTTGCAGACAGGGTGACCTTCTCACATGGCCTTTCCTTGTGACGTGTGGAGAGTGAACAAGCTGTGGGGTATCTTCCTCTCTTTGTAAGGACACCAATACTATCATGCTTATGACCTCATTTAACATTTATTACCTCCCTATACGTGCTATCTCCAAATATGGTC